TTTTTTTTTTTTTTTTTTTTTTTTTTTTTTTTTTTTTTTTTTTTTTTTTTTTTTTTTTTTTTCACTAACCCCTTTCATTAATTATTATTTTTGTTAAGTTACTATTTTAGTCCTCGAGCGTATAATTGCCCTCGCTCGAACAGGTTTCAAATTATCGACTCTATCACAAATTATCGACTTTAGTGATATATATTGTTGGTGAGAAGGTCTGACTTGTCGGGTATGTATCATGTTGGCATGGATGAGTCAAATCATTTCTTGAGTACCTGCACATCATATCTACTCGTACTAGTGTAAGACACCATGTTGAGTACATTTCACATTCTTTGGCGACGTTCCTTTCCTTCTCTGAATTTGCGAGCTTGATGGGTCGTTTGGTCCTCATCCTTGGCTTGGGAGCCTTTAAACGATTATCTTCATGATGAGCTAGCTTGATATCTCGAGTTCGAGTCATCGAAATAAGGAGTCTAGTGACCACATGTTAATTAATGAAATCGCTGTCATGCTTTTCGAGAGGTGGTGATTTGCCTCTACACTTCAAGGAGCATAGATGAAAGTTGATCCAATCACCTAATAATTAGGCTCCAAATTTTTTTTGCTTGAAGTTATAACTCACCATCTCTTTCCTTGTCGAAACCTAGATGGAAGATCTCCACCCTTGATTCATAGTACGAGCTGAGGTGGTGTGGTCTGCCTATCCAAGCTTTTTTCAGGTGAGTTAGACCACACTCATATACGTAACATGTCTCTTCTCCCATTTGTCTTCCATTATCGAGACGAAGTGACACAATCTAGAATCTACAAGTAGGAAATGTCCAAATGTGTAAAAAACATTTAAGACTGGTATCTAACTCCCACTGCTACATTGTCTAAGCTTCTTTCGAGTTAGGTCAAATTGACTCAGTCACTCGAATTGGCTAGTGACTCTATCTTGGCCCATTTGTTGAGGTTTTCAACAACGATACTAAACTTACGGGTGGTGAGTTAATGTGGTCGACTCTCCACTATGCAAAGGGCCACGAACTCAACACAAAGTGAGCGACTTGGTTGGCTAGCGAGACACCATGACAAGTCGTTTATGGTTCTTTGTGAAGTATAGTTAAAAATGGAATAATATCTACACTAAGGTTGTGCTAACTATATACAATCAAGCAACAAAATGAGACACTGTACTTACTTTTGTCATCTAACTTTGTTTTTCTTTGATCCTGTACATGCATATAGGCTACACTTTCGAACACTTTTAAATGAGACACTGTAGGCTTTTGTTTGCTCCATGTTTCTTACGATGTCTGGTCTCCCAATTCCACATGAGAACACTGATTCTACACATAAACTACACATAATACTGCTTCCGCCCAAAACTCCTTTGACATTTCTTTACTCTTTATCCTCGACTAGACCATACTAAGAATAGTTCAATTATTTTCTCTCGGCCACACCATTTGGTTCAAGCGAGTATGGTGTAATCAAGAATGATCTAATGCCTTAGTTACTCATAAAACTAAAAGGCTTAGGGTTAGAATGTGAAAATCATGGTAAAAAACCAAAAAGTTACTTTAGAAATGTGAAAATCATGGTAAAAAAAATTTCAACCGACTTACGTTTAAATAAACTAAAAATCAAACCGAGTCTAAACTAGAAAAAAAAAAATCGAAAAATACTCTTATTTTTAGTTTTGCATGGAAAATTTTAATATTTTATTAAAAAAAATATCCTTTAATTTAAAAAAAAAATTCAGAATAATATTAAAAATTTTAAAAGTTTAGAAATATTTTTTTTTTGGACGATTTTTTATTTATTAATTTAACTTAAAATAATAATAAGAAGAAGAAAAGAAGAAGGCAATGGATGACGTGGATTAGAGAAACCCTATCAGCATGAAAAACGTGTAATTGCAACTCCAAAATTAATAATAATAATAATAATAATAATATTTTTTTTTAATTTTTTAAGCAAAAAAGACAATTACCTTTTTTGGCTGTATTACGTGAAACCCATGGCTCGACGGATCAAATTTATTTATTTATATATTTTTATTTTTCTTTTCTAGAAATAAATTTAAAATTCATTCAAATCAACCCTTAATTTAGATTTGAAATTTGCTCGGAGAGTTTAAATAATCGAGCGTTCAAAGAAATGATCGATCAGTTAGGACAACAACCCTTTAATCTTTCAAACAAATGGACTCTAATTCTGGAAGAGGCCTATCGAATCACACTGAAAAGGGGATGAGCAGTAGACAACCTTTTAGAATAGCCTTCATCCGAGACTTAAACGTCTGATCAAACCTACGCATCTAGAAAAGAAAAAGAATGTCTCAAAGATCACGATAGCCGAGCAGAGAGGTCCACTATTACAAAAAAGAACAAAAAAGTCTCGAGCCAACAAACATATCATTAGATCTGCCTTGATATCGCTCTCATTAGTATTGTCAAACCCACGTAACTTACTTTCATCGCCAAATTAGATTAAGAGTATCATTTAACAACAATTAAGTACTAATGTCAAAAAAAAACACACAATTATTGCAAATGATTAAGCTCTTTTAACACGTTCTTCACCACATCGTCCATTTCAACTTTACATTATTAATTAATATTATTTTTTATAAAAATGATTAATTCAAGTTACTTAAATTATAATTTAGGATAATAATTTTAATTCAAAAGGTAATTTAAATGTGATAATTTAAATAAATTTAGATTTGAAATTGTTTGTTTAATAGGAAGTAGGTGGGAATTCGAATTTCATTAAAATTTATTTATTTATGTATTTATTTATGGGTTTGATTATTGAACAGATAAGGTGTAGTGTTTTTGAGTTGGTAAAGTTATGAACAGTGACAGAGGGAACACTTGGGTGAGGCCTTGTTTGACGAAATTTCATCACGGCCTCCAATTGAAACCTGCCACGTGTATAAGATCACCAAAACACCAACAACAGAATCTCCAGAAAAATAACAGACCAATCAACGTAAGAGCGCGTGTTTCATCGCATTAATGTCATTCATCACTCCAAATGGGAGACTGCCACGTAGGATGCCAAGTAATTCGAACCCATCCTGAAGTGTTTGTATGTTGAGTTAGGTCGGTTGAGCTCCAAACATAGTTCGGATGCAATCCAATTGTTCGGGTTCGCGAGATCCCACGTCTATCGGAGATGGGAGCAAAACATTCCTTATAATGACGTGGAAACCTATCCTTAGCTAACGTGTTTTAAAACATTGGGAGGTGCGGAAGGAAATATTCAAAGAAGACAAATGATATCAAACTAGGTTTGGGCAATGGGCCTCGAAGGGGGTGGATTGGGGGGTGTCACATCGATTGGAAAGAGGAATGAGTGCTAGTGATGACGCTGGGTCACGAAAGGAGTAGATTGTGAAATCTCACATTGATTGGAGAGAAGAACAAAACATTCTTGATAAGAGTGTAAAAATCTCTCATTGGCAAATACATTTTAAAACTTCGAGAGGAAGCCTAAAAGAGAACTATATCTGCTAGTAGCGAATAAGTGAACCCAACCTAACCATAAATGTTTTGGATTGAATTGGTTTGGGTTATTTGTTCAGCTAGCAAGCTGCTATACGTCTCTCTCCTCCACTTGCCTTTCGTCTTACATTTTATTTTCTCTCTCTAAACTAAAATTCAACTAAAATAAATGATAATATCAGACGCAGCCCAAATTTTGTCTCCCTCCAATCCCTAACACCATTTATTTTCTGCCTCTATCAGCTTAGCCGCGGGAACCGTACGGTAATTTCACCACTTCTTCGGTGACAATCCGGCGAATCTGATTCGATACTGGACTCCGATCAGTGTATGGAATGACAGACTACCGAGTGCCACCGGCGATGAATCTCTGGGCGGATGAGAACGCGTCGATGATGGACGTGTTCACAAGCACCGATCTGAGTTCCTTATGGGTTACGCCGCCGCTGCCGCAGCCACAGCCGCAGTCGCAGCCGCTTTATTCCTCTGTTTCCACGGCGATTGAACCAAGTAAACCCGTCGGTCAAGAGCCGCCGCCGCCGTCCTTAGCGGTTTTCAACCAGGAGACTCTGATGCAGCGCCTCCAAGTGCTGATTGAAGGCGCTCAAGAGAGCTGGACTTACGCTATCTTCTGGCAATCTTCGTACTACTCCGGTAGTAACCTCTTAGGGTGGGGCGATGGATACTACAAAGGCGAAGAAGATAAAGAGAAAGCTAAATCGAGCACCTCAAAAACAGAGCAAGAGCGCCGGAAGACGGTACTTCGCGAACTCAACTCTCTCATTTCTGGTTCCCCTGCCTCCGATGACGACGCCGTCGACGAGGTCGTCACCGACACCGAGTGGTTCTTCTTGGTGTCGATGACTCAATCGTTCGTCTCCGGTGTCGGATTACCGGGACAAGCATTTTTCGATTCGAACCCTATTTGGATTAGCGGTTCCGATCGGCTTGCGAGCTCGTTCTGTGAACGAGCTCGTCAGGGTCAGATTTTCGGATTGCAAACAATGGTTTGTATTCCGTTGGTGAACGGCGTTGTTGAATTAGGGTCGAGCGATTTGATTTTCCTGAACTCTGATCTGATGAATAGGGTTAGGGTTTTGTTTAATTTCAATAATCTGGAGGCGGAGACTTGGCCAATTAGTGGCGAGAATGACCCGTCGCTTTGGATCACTGAGCCATTATCAAACGCCATTGAAATTAAGGACGCCATTGAAACTCCAAGTTCTTCTGTTCCTCCTCCGCCTCAAAAGAGTAACCGGCAGCCGCAGCCGGTTCAGAAACAGAGCTTCTTAACCCCCAAGGAATTGAACTTCTCTGAATTTGGGTTTGAGAATGGCAGCTTGAAGGCGGAATCCGGGGAGATTCTTAATTTTAGTGGCACCAAGAGGAATTCTCACCCCAACACAGACAACATCTTGCCTTCCGGCAACCCGGGCGGCAGCGATGAGAACAAGAAGAAGACATCCAGTAACGAAGAGGGGATGCTTTCTTTTACATCTGGTGTGATTCTTCCATCCTCTGGCACCGCAAAATCGACCGGTTGCATTGTCGATTCCGACCACTCCGACCTCGAAGCATCGGTGATCCGTGAGGTGGAGAGTAATAGAGCGGTGGAGCCGGAGAAACGGCCGCGAAAACGAGGTCGAAAACCAGCAAATGGTAGAGAAGAACCATTGAATCATGTTGAAGCAGAGAGGCAGAGAAGAGAAAAACTAAACCAAAGATTCTATGCTCTTAGAGCTGTGGTTCCAAATGTATCAAAAATGGACAAAGCTTCACTTCTTGGCGATGCTATTTCTTACATTAATGAGCTCAAAGGGAAGCTTCAAGCTGCAGAATCAGATAAGGAGGAGCTACAAAAGCAATTGGATTCAGTGAAGAAGTTCATATCAAGCTCAGATCAAGAGGTAAAAGCGTCGAATTACGGCATCGAAACCGATATCGACGTGAAGATAATCAGCTGGGACGCGATGATCCGGATCCAATCTAGTAAGAAGAACCATCCCGCTGCACGGCTGATGGCGGCATTGGAGGAACTTGATTTGGATATCAGCCATGCGAGCATTTCAGTTGTGAATGATTTGATGATCCAACAAGCAACTGTGAAGATGGGCAGTCGGTTGTACACTCAGGAGCAGCTCAGGATAGCTCTGTCGTCGAAAATGGGCACTGCTCGGTAGCTCCCTAGCTCGGTAGCCATTGTTGGGTTAGAAGAGCTCCATCCAAGCTCTGTAAAATACTGTTCTTTACTTGTTCTTAGGTAGATGATTCACATGAAGAAGACAGAAGAAGGTAGTGGCTTTGCTTGGCTCCATTCACGTGAATAGTTAAAACAACTTTCAATTATTGTATATATACAAAGCCATAAAACTTAATAATTAAAGAGTTTAATTAATTTACTCTTAAGAGTGTTGCTATGAGTTTTGTTTGATCGGTGGACATATCAACTCCAAGTTTAAAACCTAATTTGTAAAAATTATGCATTAACAATAGAATTAATTCATTCAATTATTGGTTTGAAATTTTAATTAAGGGTATTTAAAAAAAAAATCTAATGACCCAATAAATAAATGAACAACATTTAATTTTATTAAAAATAAATAAATAAATCTAGAGATATAAATGAATATTTGTGAATAAATAAAGAAAAGAAAAAAAGAAATAAACAATTTAATTTCAAATCATAATAAAATAATGTTGAAAAGAACGCAATAAAAATAAAAAATATATTTATTTATTTATTTATTTATTTATTTGTGTCGATTCCCTTTATGAACTTTTAATTTAAAAAGGCGGCCCAACCCAAGTGGGTGACAGAACATATTCAATTAATCTTTAAAATCAAATTCACTATACCTTCCTTAATTGTTTTACAAAAATAGTTACCATTCGAATAATTTTACAGTGACCCGAGCCACGTAAATACTCAACTATTAATTTTTGGATCGGGTTGAATTAAGTTGTTTTTTTTTTTTAATTATTTTTAAAAATTATACTTATCTACGATACATGTTATATTAATAACTAAAATCTCATCAAACTCACAGATCACCTGAATTACTACATAAGTTATAAAAGTACAGTAGAATTGGATTGGGTCAGATTGCAACCCTATTATCGAGTTAGTTGGGTTGACCTTACAATAAAAAGATCTATCCCGCTAACTAACCCATCTTCTATTTTTTTTTTTAAATTCAACCCAATAATAATAATAAAATAATAAAAAAAATCCTTAGCTCGAATCAATCTTTAAATTTCGATTTGGTCATCTAAATATTTCTTCTTTTTTTTTTAGTTTGATTTAATAAGTTATTTATTATTCTTTTGAAGCATAAAAATGTACTAAGACATTTAGCTTTTTAGCTTCGAAATCTTTTAATATCAAATTTAAATTCATTTGATGTGAAAAAGGTATTCTTCATTAATATATTTATTTAAAAATTCTCATTAAACACATTTTTTTTTTTTTTTTTTAATGATGGGTATCAAAGTCAATCGGTTGACCAATAAATTCTATTATATATATATATATATATATATATATAGATTTTAATGTAAGAATAAATCCCTAGTTATCCTTAATTTTTGTATTATGTCTAAACACATTGTATTGACCATTTGTATGACATTTTGCAATTTGCCTCAAAAGCCACCAAAGCAAACTTGTCCATTTCATTAGATCATACTTCCCTAATTAATAATTAGTTTTAAGGGAAAAAATAAATAAATAATTCATTTTTTTTCTTAAAAAAAAATAATTTTATAACCCGACCAATTGAAACCAAATATATTACCCATTTTCCTAATTTATAATTATTACAAAATCGCAAATTAAAAAAACAAAAACACATAGATATTTTCAATACTGGACAGAAATTCAAAGTTTTAAGAGTATTATTGAGATAAAGGGCAAATTTCATGGATATTTTTATTAATTTAATCTTAATTATTTAATGTTTTATTTGTAATTTAATATTATTCAAGGTATGAATCGAGTATAATCTTGAATAATACGAGGTTGATATACATAATGATCATGTTCAAGTAATAACTTAGAAAGTCAGTATATGGATAAGGTTGAGTTTGTTATTCGAATAATACTATTGAATAATTTGATCTAAATCGTTCATGTAGATATATATGAGTGGAAGTATCATTTAAGGCTGAATTATGAAATAGTTAATCTTTATTTATAAATCATATTTTATCTGAAGACGATAATAATTATTTTCCGCTCGAAATTTTTGAACAATTAAAATTAATAATTTTGTTCAGATTAATTTTATTAAATATTCTTCTAAAACAAACAAAATAATTTTTTTGATCATTGATAATGCATCAACCTCGTTGAATATGTGATGTGCGATGTGAAACAGAAAATAATAAATTTATTTAATTATGTTAGGTTGAATGACACTGTAATCTATATGGGTCACGACTGTATTTATAGATGTGTATAATGAGAATTATAATGTAACAATTCGGGATTACATTGTAACAAACCAGACAATCATAGATTCTTCTTAATTCACGGTAATAAGTAAATTATCTTAAGATATGATCTATTTACTTTTAACGAATTATATCCTCATACAAAAATTCAATAAAAAAATTTACATCCAATAAAAAAAAGATCGATAACGAGACTAAGGGTTGTATGGCTATACTAAGTTCACGAGACTTAGATGGATCAAGTTCGTTACTAAGTTCATGCTGACAACATTTTTAAATTGAAAACAAACGAAAATATGCATGCTCGATAGAAAACAGAAAGCTCTATAAACGTATATGTTTAGTTTACAAACGAGTTAAAAGAGGGTCTAAGACGGTTCGAAATAAAATTACTAAAATTGAGCTAAACGAGAGGTAAAAATATGTTGAAATTTATTTTATAAAGATTCGTGATTAACAATAATTTTGATTATTTTATTTCTAATACAATATTATTCATTATAGGAAAATTTTAAAGTTATTATTAGTATAATCTTAAACAATATGTAATTGACATATTACGATGGGCCTGATGTGACACATAAATTACCTTAAAACCTACTCTATAGGACCTGAGAATGATCCCTTCTTCGGGTTACTTGCCGTCATCAAAATATCGAACCACGAATGAAGAAAGACATGAGATAAAAGCATATGGCCCCAATTCTTGACTGGGGGATACCAAAGGCCTCTGCCCTTCCGTCTCTTGGATAGATTAAGAGGGAGGCTAGAGCTTTTTTGGTTTTTTCATGTTGTCAAAGAGTTGAACAATGAAAATAGATGGCGAGTGCATAATCGAATTGAACAGGTCATGTACGAACAAGGTTCAAGTCTACCGGTCTGTTAGAATGCCTCAGCTGCATTCATCACTGCACTTCCACTTGATACCTATTGTGATGATAAACGGCTCATCTCGCCTTGACCTAGTAAATTGTTGTAGTGTCTCAACATAAAACATACGTGTTTGGAGCATCGAACAATGTCGAAAGGGTATCAACAACACCAAGCAATTGTTGAAAAACCTTCATCTTTGTAGCATTGTGACACTCTGTAGCATCATCTCGATGTTATAAATGTCCTCAACTCATAGTTTTGCAGTGTCGAGATGCTATGTCCTCGACTATGGAGCCCATGCCAATCAATCAAATTAAAAGTTACATATTGATATTTCTACAATATACCATGTTCTCTACTTTAACATCAATAACGTGAGATCCCACATCAGTTAGCGAGGAAAACGAAACATTCTTTATAAGGGCGTGTAAACCTCTTCCTTCCTAGCACACCCGTTTAAAAACCTTTATAAAAAAAAAAAAAAGACAGACAACACAAATAAGACAATATATGACACGGGTTGGCATGAACTATTACAAATATGATCGATAAGCTAGATGAAAATGAAGCTTAAAATGGATAGCTATTTGTGGTGAGAGCTATAATTAGGGTTAGTCAAAGCAAAGATATCGGGTATGATAGGTATATGAACTGAAACTCAAACAAAAACTAGTTTGGTTGTTACCATTCCAACCCAAAAGCCAAGCTTTGATGCCATGAGTCATGACTCCTTTCTCTCTTAATCTCTCCCAATCTCTCTCTTTATTATACATTCCAAGGGAAGCTTCATAAACAAACAAGCCCCATTGTGTAAACATGAATTGCCTATCATGCCAAGCCCTTCCAAGGACCCAATCTGATAGGGAGGATGAAGCTCAACAGACCTCTTCTAGCGTAGGCAAATCGTGTTGCCTACACATATCACGACGGTGGTCGACCGAGCTGACACCTCGGTCGTATGAGTCGATCAAATCCAACAACAATATTGCCTCGTCTTTGCACCAAAAGGCTAAGAATCGTCGTATTCAGAGCGATTGTGGCCGGAAAGAACCGAGGTTGATTCGGTGCTCTGGGATGAGAAGGAATTGGAGCTTTGAGGAGTTGGGGTTGAGAGATCAAAAGAAAGGGAGGCTCCATTGAGGTCTCGTCTTTTAGTTTTTCCCATGTTGCCTCTTTCTCTCGTGTTTATATTTCGTTAATAATGTTCATACTTCATTGGCTAAGCGTTCTAAATGTTATAGGCATGAATTTCTACATTTTTAACTCAAAATGAAAGACGAAAATAATAATAAACTAATCGACTAAAAGAAATATCTCATTGACCAATATTTCATTGACCTTTCCCTTGTTTAACCAATGCAAACAACGGTTTTTTCCATCCAATAGAAACTAGAGTTAGCTTATCGATTGTATAACGAGTGTCGATATGTATATATATATATATATATATATATATATTAAATGATATACTTAAAGCTTCTATAGGGGAATACTTAAAATGATGTATTAATACAACAATAATTTATATATTAATTTAATATAATTTAAATTTTTATAACATTTTTGTGTCTTTAATCATTTAATATTTTATTGTAATGAATTTAGTTTTATATGTTATTTTGTAAAACAAGTTAATTTATATTGCTTTTAATTTTCTTTTTATTAATTTCAATTTTAATGTAAAATTATATTGGACTGATTCCAATTGGTAGTAAAATAAATTAAAATGAAAATAAGAAAATTTTATTATGCATTTTTTAGGTTAAAAAACAATAAAATAATACTTTCGTTTCTATTTTTTTTGAGAAAAACTGAAGAACAAAAATAAAAAGTATAAAAAAAAAAAAATAAGTTTGTTATTTATGTTTGTGCTCAAACACAAACAAAAATGCATAAATATCAATCAATGTCTGTCGTGCATTGAGATGTCAATATCAATACCCGGTAGTGAATGTGTCTATCGTCAACATTCTAGTGCAAATCATATCTCTATCTTTTTCAAAGCACATCAAGACCAAAATAATGTCATAATCACACTGCTTTCATGTTCTTTAATAGTTTGGTTGGGCGGGTGGATGATATTGATAAATAAGTGAGTGAATATCGATCTCTTCTAGCTCTTCGAACTCGTATTCCTTTGTTGTCCATGTCTCTTAAAAAAATATAAAAATCTCTACCAAAGTAGCATATGTTGTACCTTCGGCAGATTCTTGTATAAATAGTTTGCATGCTCATATAGAGCTCCCTTAAGACCAGATCATTATAGATTTGGTATCAATCGTGACATTTGAGAAACTTGTCTATGTCTTGAACACTTGAAACAAATTAACAGTCCAAGCCCATTACTAGCAGAGATCGTACTCTTTGGACTCTTTTCCCATTACTAGCAGAGATCGTACTCTTTGGACTCTTTTTCGAGATTCCCCTCAAGGTTTTTAAAACGTCTGTAGGGAGAAGTTTCCACACCTTCATAAAAATACTTCATTCTTCGGTTTCCAATCGATGTGGGACCTCCCAATCCACCTCCCTTCAAGGCCCAGCTCCTTGCTGGCACATTGCCTTGTGTCCACCTCCTTCGTGTAATAGTCAAGCTCACTACCAGCAGACTTCTCCCTCAAAGTTTTTAAAACGTGTCTGCTAAAGAGAGGTTTCCACACCTTTATAGAAAAATACTTCATTCTCGTTCTCAACCGAAGTGAGATAACATTATCTAAAAGGCCCTCCATGGGAGACTTACATTAGAATTAAACAAACAAACAGCTGATCACATTTTGAACCAAGCAAGATGCTATAAAATTAGAATGAACAAACTGTGTGACATTAATATAAGGGATATCCATATTCAACAGGGATAAATAAACATGTATATCTACACCTCCAGAATTTTTACCCAATCACTCTTTAACTAATATAAAAACTTACACATATTTGAAAACGCTTCCGATCGCCTTCAATCCGGGAGAGTTCTACCTTCTTTCTCAACCCAATCTATGCATACAAAAACCGTCCAGCTTCATGTGAAAATCCTTCAAATGGCGCCATCGTCATCGGTTGAACGTTCATTCCAGACGATACGAAATCACAGCAAAAGCCCCAACTACAACAGGGAAATCATAAGAATAATGTCATACATGTTATCAATAATTTAGGAATGCGAACTCGAACTCAGCTCTAATTCTTCTTCTTTCTTGCATCTGCTTTCCAATTTCTTCGACCGAGCACCTTTTTCGCTGTCTCTGAGACGAGCTGTTCGGTAGGTGGCTCCGAGTGTGATCGTGTTTCTGATTGTGGTTCGGGATTAGAGGGCTGGCACTGGATTTGACCCTCACTGGTTGATGATTTTGCAGCCATATTAGAACTATTACAAGAGGCTTCTTCTAACCCTCTTGATACACTGGCATTTCTTGCTTCCTTCTTCCAATTTCGACTACAATGAACTCGAGTCAAGGGATTGTTCGCAACGCCATTTGGTTGAAAATAAGTTCCTGTTTGAGTAGGGTGTTTTATGGTTGAAGCCTTCTTTATTTCTTCTTCTAAACGTTTCCGAGCTCTATATCTGCGTTGCCTTTCTCGATTCTTCAGTCGACGAGTCATGATATCGTTGTCTATTCTGATGTATTTTTCTTGATCTGTGAGCTTCATCGGAAAACTACTCTCTGCTTCAGCAACGTGCTTATTTTGCACGATTTCCATTTCGAGGAAAGTCGGATTCGAATCACTGCTTCATCGCCTAACCCTTATCTTTCAGACGACTTGCCAACAGTCTACGAACCTAATACACAAAAATGAAGGTTCTGTCAATATACAACGAATAATATAACACAAAATTCAAGATTCTACAAAAATACAACAGATAGTGTTTGCAAATGTGAATTGTTGCAGATAAAAGAGTTTACAATAAAAAGCAAAAGATATTCATAAACTAGAGTCAATCTACTAAAAGATTCGAGCTAACCGACGCAGCATTCCAACTAGTTCAAAGGCGCTATAACCGAACTGGTAAAACGAGAATTTTTCTTCAGTTTTTGCTAAATCAAACCATTCGATGTTATTACTATAAAACACTCGACTTCTCTTCACCGTGCTGCATACATGAATGCAGATGTTTCTGTTCAATAGAATATTAGAAATCAAGCACTTGATATTCGCACATCAGTATAACAATCGAGCAACTTACAGATATGAAACACAATCTGCTAGAAACAATGCACATTTAACAATATGATATTATCTACTTTAAGCATAAACCACCTAGAATTTATTTTTTGTTTCACCCAAAAGGTCACATATCAATGAGGATGGTCTTCCCCTTATCTAGCCAAGGCGGGACTTCGGTTGCATTCACAACAATCTTTTCCTTGAACAAAGAAACATCCAGCCGGGTGAGTGTATCACATAATTAGACAAAGTCCTCTTCACACGATACACACCACCTGTTCGATAAGCTCGACCACAAAACACTACGACCATGCCATCGATGCACGCTAACACAACTAAGTTAGAAATAAGACTTTGATACCATTTGTTAAGGGCACAGAACCATGCACATGTCCACTTTGGGCATAAGCCCTCGTGGTTCCAGTTTCGGAAACACCCAAAATGTCTCATACTATGCAGGCCTTTTCTTTCTTTATTACAACATTCTCGACCATAGAATTCGGCCTGAGGGGTCAACCCGGTGGCTTCTATGAGAAAAGCGGCACAAAGGAAGCTCTAGGGCTTGTTAAGGAAGGTGGCAAGGCTAATTGAACCCCATCTAGTAGACTCCCTGGTTGGCTCATCCCCTTCGTCAGCTCTATTATCAGCTCTATTATCGGGATACTATTACCTAGGTTCGGAAAGTTTGAATGTATGGCAGTTTTCCAAAACAATATATACTCCAATTTAAAGAATAAACGAGATGCTGTAGATATGAGTAAAACAGGGCTTTTGTGTTCCTTTTACAAAAGCTTCCATTTCCATATGGGAAGAGTAGCAGAGCAACTTGGAATCCAATTAGAACATGTTAAAAGAGAAAGGGATAGGAATACAATTCACTATGAGAAAGCGAAAAGATAATAGAAATTAGGGCATCAATTTGACCAATAGCTACCAAAATACAAACATCTTCCTCATTTCAACACCATAATAATAGAGGGCTTTTTGGGTAAAAATTTCACCGATTCAGAAGCTAGAAGTTGGGGATTCACATTTGGGATTTGAAAACAGAACAAGAACATAAGAACCAGGAAGATCCAGAAATAACCGAGAAGGGGAAATACGAGATAGCCAATAAATATTGAATCAAATCACTGAAACGAAAAACAGGAAGAGAAATGTTGAATCTAGCGAAGGGTGGAGGATGACGGAGGCCAAAAAAAGGGGGGAAATCGATCCAGAAAGAAAAAATTGAGGAAAATTACAGCTGAAGAACGTAAAATAGAAGAAGATGAAAAAAGGAATCGAGAGAAAAGCAATATAAATACCTTGGAAATGAAGATCTGCACGCTTTGATTGGAACTATTCACGGAGGAGATAGAAGAAGGCGAAAGCTATATATAGAGAAGGAGACCAGAACGATGATGTATGATTTTCAGACGCACGTATTCGACGGAGGATTCTCTCGAAATGTTTTTTTTTTTTTTTTTTTTTTTTTTTTTTTTAAATACTCCAAAATAATATTTTTATTTTTATTTTTTATATTTTTATCATTAATTTTGAATAAAAAACTATTAATATTTTAAAAGTTTTTCGCCAATATATTTGAAAATTATCTATTTATTGCTTCATGATTATCTCTTTCTTTAATTTTAATTTTAAAGATCAGCATAAAATTTTTAAATATAAAAAGAATTTTATTTTTTCGGAGAGGGTTAATATTGCATTGGCATTTTTGAAACATAATCAACTCTATTCATAAAATAGAAAAATATTAATAAAATAAAAAGATTAAAATGATGTCCTAGTCTACAAAATAAAAATGCAACTACCCTACTCAGGTTCGATGGTATTTGATGCACCGCTGCCGCCGTCAACCGTACAAGGGTGTCTTGCATTTTACGTGAAATATAAAAGTAGCACAAGACTCACTTTAAGAAATACTTAATGAGTGACCATACTATTGCGGTTAGAGAATGCAAACGCATGCAACAGGAATAAAATCTATCATTTAAAATCGTATTCTCTTAGGCATCTTTCCAGTCCAAGTCATCGGATACACATTTATTACTCTACACACGACCCATACATGTGAATGTGGACCCACTAGACAGTTCGCCCTAGACCTCGTGCTGGCCAGGCTAGAGTCTTTGGTGCTGTTGTCGGACACCCAAAAGGAATAACAACCGTCATAGGATCATGATAAACATGATGATCATTTTCCATTTCATAACGTACGCGTTCGTACTAATCATAAGCTGAAACATCTCGATGCACGTGAACATACATTTATGCATGAGATTCCAATAGCATAACCTTTAAAACATGTCTATCTCATAAATATCCTTATCTCAAAACCTTTCATCACATGTCATACATCTCATGGCCCAACGTAATTATGTCACAGTATATCATAGCATTTCATAGCATATTACAATTTTTCAAGGCATAATATGACATCCATTTGTATTCTAATGTTAGAAGGGCATATCACATTAGAATAATGCATTATTTCCCCACGAAATCTTCATTCATCTCTCTAATCGACGTGTGATCTCACAATCCACCCCCTTGGAGGCCAGCGCCCTCGCTGACACATTACCCAGTGTCGGGTCTAATACCATTTGTAACAGTCCAAGCCCCACCGCTAGTCGATATTGTCCTTTTTGAGCTTTCTCTTCTGGACTTCCTCTCAAAGTTTTAAAACGCGTACGCTAAGGAGAGGTTTCCACACCCTTTAAGGAATGTTTCGTTCCCCTATTCAACCGATGTGAGATCTCGCATAAATTCTAACACTGGAGTCAGAATGACAACACACTGTAAATATGGAAGATATACTCCCACTAAAGTTACGCCACTTAACCTAAGCTCAACTTGACATCTCGTGCACATCACTAACTTAAGCATCAAAAGGGGTTGAATAGATCAAAATCTTTCATCCTACAATAAAATAAGAATAATAAGATTCTTGATTATGTCATTGACTAAAGAGGTCTAGAACGAATTTCTTTTATATTTTTATTATTTTCTTTCGCATGAGACCTTCGCAACAATATGATCGCTATTTGTTAGGCTCGGTTGGATTCAAACTCTCATCAAACTATTTGTTAGGACCGGTGGAAAGTGACCATTTTGAATCAAATGAATGGTTTAGCTCTGTTGGTTCACTGCAAGTCAAAAGATAACTATTTTGATGAGCAACAGATCAGCCCTGAAGGCAATTTCAATTGGAGCTTTAAAGAAAAATTTTGGCAGACAACATTGTATTAGTGCAATTTTATGAGCAACCACGGACTTGCTTCTGATGAAGTATTTTGGCCAGAAAAAAGGAACTGGCTTGGTGCTTGACGTGACCATCATAACTGCATTTGGGTTGCTAGCGAGAATGATATTTTCTTACGTCTTGGTTCTCAAGATTTATATCAATTAATGTACCCATGGAAATGATGTAACCCAACACTTATGAACTAATTATCGATAGAGGCATAATGCTTTACAAATGAAAACTCATGTGACGTTTTAAAAGGTCAATCCTTCCCTACTTGTTAAAACTCAACATAGTTATATTTTTTTTTTTCCTATTTTTTTCTTAATTCATCGTTAAATATGTAAGATCCCACATCGGGGTTGAAGAGGAGAACAAATCATTTCGTGTGGAATCCTCTCCTTAGTAGATGCGTTTTAAAACAGCTAGGTTTATGACAATAAGTAAATGGCTAAAGCGGACTATATTTGTTAGCAGGGAACTTAGACTATATTTGAAGCATGGCAATCCTGGATGCTATGATTAATTTTTCAGGTATCACATCGTGGATGTTGATTTTCATGTGGTAAAAATTACATGTTTTAGGTTTCACGTTCTTCATAAATTTATAAATTCCTTGGGTGTTTTTTTTTTTTTTTTTTTGGTTTTTGAAAAAGACATTGAAGAACATGAAGATATTTAATTTTTGTTGGAGGTTTGATGATACCCACTCCAAATTATAGTGTTGGTTAAGGTGTTACTTTCTATATTCCAATATTAAAACATGATCTTTGTGAGTATCAAAAGCTTTCCACTTATGATATCTATTTACCCTTTTGCTTCCCTAGCTGTTCATATTTTCTTTGCAACTTGCCAACTTGCACACACCCACTCATTATTGCCTACTACTCCCTCTTCTTTCTCAACAAAATGAGGCCCATAAGTCGTTTTATCGTCATATTTTTCGACAAACAAATTTATCGTAGGTAAAAGTGAGAGAACTTCGATGATACAATTGTTAATTTATGACAAAACGCATGTTTTCTTAGAGATGTACACAGATTGAGTTTGGTTGATTGTGTTGGTGACCCGAACAACTCGAATAGAGCACAAATTGGGTTGGATTGGGTTGTCGAGTTGTTTTCTTCTAACGACCATAAATTCTTGCATGCTCAAATTCGCTGCTAATTTTATCGAATGTCTCCATCCTCCGTACAGAGACTATGACACGTGCATAGAGTAGACTCATATTTAAATTCATAGTCTTATGTTAGAATAAATTGTCGGTTTTAAATTATTTTATTTTGTAATTTTTTTTATTTTTTTTTAATTTCAGTATTTCGTATTTAAACACATAAAACCATGACTGTTTTCTAGAGAAGATATGTTTTAAATGTTTTTGACATTTATATTATAAATGATGTTTTATTTTAAGAATTATATTTCCGCATTAGACATAAGCATGAGACGTTAGCAACGACTCTATGTATCTAGAAATCTAGGGTCGTTACATTTTCTTTTAAATAATATATATTAAATTAATAATTAAAATTTCATAAAATTTAAATATCAAATATTTACAAGTTACAATGCATAACTAAACTCGGTTACAAACGTTACATATTCTTAATCTTTTTTAAAAGTAGAGTATGATTGTGTTGGACTCTAACTCTATTTTCAAATTGGTCGAGTGAACCCGACCAAAAAAAAAAAATTCAACCTACAAACTAATTTGAATCATCAATTTTCCAAAAATTCAACCGAATCTAAACTGAAAAGAAAAAAAAATCTAACTAACCCAGTTGGTTAATTCAGATGGGAGAAGTCGAACATGGGGCAACTCGAACATCTTTATGTTTTTCTCTAGTATAAGACGTTTCCATGTTGAGTTTTGCTTAAACTTTAAATGGGTATCTCGGACATGATTTCACTAAAAGTGTCTTTTAACATTTTTTCATGTATTTTAATTATAAATTTTTAGTGTTAAGTGACGTCTCTGACCAGTACATATATAGAAAAGTCGAGTTGTTACACACTGGGAAGTACACGTTATTCGTGTAGATAGTAACTTTCATTTCTTTTTAATCTTTCTTAACTATTATATCTTTAAGATCACGAAATGTCGGAATTCTTCTATGTATCTCTCATTTACTCTATCTTTAAATATATTAATACATGAAGTTAATAAATAAATAAAGAAGGCAAAATAATTAAGATTAAAATAGTAAGTTTGGTGTAGAACTTTCAAGATAGAGCATCTAGATCTAAACTTTTGTACTAAGAATAAAATATTTCACATTACTTTATGATTTAAAAGATTCTATTTATTAAATATAAACTTTAAATATATTATAATAAGTAGTAGACGAAATGTTAGTCGGTATCTTTTATCTCATTTAGTTGAATGTTTGTAACCGTTATACGAACAAAGTTATTGAATAATTTTAATAGTTCATAATCAAAATAATGGTCGTTTATAACTCTCTTAGAAACCTTTTAAAGTAGGAAAACTAAATAAAATTCGAAAGTGATCCCGAGATAAAAATTAAATTTAATCGATAATTAAAAAGGTCAACTAGAATAAAGTTGAATTAATTAGACTTACATCATTGACCAAAATGTTAGATGTTGGTGAATTTTATAGAGTAGATATAAAAGTTCGGAAGATATACTAAATAGAATCTATTGGAAACTTTTGATCGTTCATAGACTAGATAAACGAAAACAAAATATCAAAATTCAGAGACTAAACTTGTAGTTTAATCTAAAAGATCATTAACACGCCAGTTCAAGAACGAGAGACTAAACTTGTAGTTTAATCTAAAAGATCATTAACACGCCAGTTCAAGAACGAGAGACTAAACTTGTAGTTTAATCTAAAAGATCATTAACACGCCAGTTCAAGAATGAGAGACTAAACTTAAAATTTAACGGTTTTGAAATAACCATAGAAAAGAAGAAAGGAGGGCATTAGGTGGGTTTGTAATATCAAACTGAAAGAGGAAGGAAACCCTAATGAGGTGAGGAGGTATACAAAACTTGGTGTCCTATAACTTGCAGAAGGACCAAAATGTTGGGGATTGGTTTTTGAACCAAGAGGAGGAGAGGAACTATAACACCCCAAAATCGTGAGCTTCACAATGGGCCAAAACGAATAATAGCGGTAGGTTTGAGCTGTTACAAGTGATATCAAAGCCCGATATCGGACGATGTACTAGCGAGGACGTTGGTTCCCAAGAAATATCTAATGGAGAGAGAAACGGAACATTTTTTACGAGGGTATAGAAATCTCTCCCTAGTAAACCCATTTTAAAACCGTGAGACTGACAGCGATACGTAACGAGTCAAAGCGGACAATATCTACTAGCAGTGAGCTTGGGCTATAACGGACAATATCCACTGACGATGGGTTTAGGATGTTACACGAGAGATTCTAAGTTTGACAACGATAAGTTATGAGCCAAAACAAATAATATCTATTAACAGTGAGTTTGAGCTGTTACAAATGGTATTAGAGCTAGATATCGGACAATTTACCAGCGAGGACGTTGGGCACCCAAGAAATATCTGATGGAGAGGGAAACAGAGCATTTTTTACAAGGATGTGGAAACCTCTCTTTAGTAAACCCGTTTTAAAACCATGAGGCTGATGATGATAAGTAATACGCCAAAACAGACAATATCTGCTAATGGGCTTAGGCCATAACGGACAATATCCACTGACGGTCGGTTTAGGATGTTACACGAGAGATTCTAAGCTTGACAACGATAAGTAATGAGCCAAAACAAATAATATCTACTAACGATGAGTTTGGGCGGATACAAATGGTATCAGAGCTAGATATTAGACAATTTACCAGCGAGGACACTGGGCTCCCAAGGAAAATCGGTTGGAGAAGGAAACGGAACATTTTATACAAGGATGTGGAAACCTCTCTTTAGTAAACCCGTTTTAAAACCGTGAAGCTAACAATGATAAGTAATACGCCAAAACGGACAATATCTGCTAACGGTGGGCTTGGGCCACAACGAATAATATCCACTAATGGTGGGTTTAGGATGTTACACGAGAGATTCTAAGCTTGACAATTATAAGTAATGAGCCAAAACAAATAATATCTACTAATAGTGGGTTTGAGCTGTTACAAGTGATATCAGAGCTAGATATCAGACAATGTACCAGCGAGGATACTGGGCTCTCAAGGAAAATCGGTTAGATAGGGGAACGGAACATTTTTTACAAGGGTGTGGAAACCTCTCCCTAATAGATATGTTTTAAAACCGTGAACAAACTGCAATACATAACCGACCAAAATGGACAATATTTATTAGTGGTGGGCTTGAGCTAAAATGGACAATATCTGCCGACGGTGGGTTTGGGGTGTTACACGAAAGGGGGAAATTGCACATGCCCAACTGCAGAAAAGGTTGGGTCAACAACAACAGATTTCTCTCATTTTTAGTGTTTGGTGGGAGCTTTAAGACAAATGGGTCCTATGGCCTACTCATTGCTGTCCCCATTTTAGCATAGCCATGGATTCACTTGTTCATCCATAATGCTCTCCCCTCCTCCTCCTCCTCCTCATCTCCATCCATTCAACCCTAAACCCTCTGCCCTCTTCTCTCAAAAATCACTATCAACTAATCAATGCACTGACTTAGCCACACAAACTAACCTTTTCTCTTTTTCTTAAGGATGAACATTCAAGAACCCTAAGAAAACTCATAACATACTTTCCAATTTCAGCCCCAAACACAGGAAAAACAGAGTAAATTACGGAGAGATCAATGGTACAGAGTACATACATGTATGTCCAGAAGCACAACCGCCATTCAGATTTTGCATATATGGCCTGAAATGTCACTGTTATACTTGATTCCTATCATAATCATTCAAATTTTGAATTGAAGCACACGGAATGAAAGCAAATATGAGTAACGAAATTAAAGGATACTTGATCAATATCAATATCAGTTGAGGCTATTTTGTTGTTCTTCATTCAAGAAATCCATACTCACAGTCGCACACCAAATTCCCCCAACACAACGAGAAGAAACGAGTGAGAACAAATTAAGAACAAAATCAAGGAAGAATGAGTAAGGAAATTAAAGAATACTTGATAAATATCAATATCAGTTCGTTTTCTTGTTGGAAGTAGAGGCTATTTCGTTGTTCTTCGTTCAAGAAATCCATACTCACAGTCTGCACACCAGATTCCCCCAACACAACGAGAAGACAAAATTAAGAAGGAAGATGAAGCAGAAGAAGAAGAAATTAAGAAATATGATGTCTCTCTATCCCTTTCTTTTTCAATAGTTCTTTCGTTTGTTCTTCTTTTTTCGAGAATCTTTCGTTCTCTCTTTCTGAAATCTGTGTGGTGATTAAGATGTAGATGTAGTACCTGCAGCAGTAGCAGCAGTAGCAGCAGCAGTAGCAGCAGCAGCACGAGCCATTCCTTCCGTGACGGATGTAAGCTTCTGCAGATTCAATTTCACAACCGTATCTGCAAATAGACGCGTATCCTCTTCCGTATTCCCTTCCGGCACATCTACGATGTACGATTCCAAAACGACAGTCCAGATCTGACCATCGCGCTCCATCTCGTGCACCGTCGTTACTGACCGGTAGTTCCTCAATCGATGGTCGCCGCCGGTGATACTAAAACCTATCACATACTGATCGTCGTCGAGTATATCGAGTCGCTCTGTACTTGTCGCCGCCGGGAGGCCGGAGATTACATAGACATCTCTGGTGCATCCTACGGTCATTATGAAGTCTTCGGCGACGGAACAGCTCTTAATGAAGTGCTTGTAAATCTGAGGCTTATCGAAGCGGCGGACGACGGACCAAACGACATCGCGCGGCGCTCGGATGAGTTGAGAGAGGAGAGAGGAGCATTGGCCTGGGCGGAGTTCGTAGGTGTGAAATTGGAAGACGAGATGCTTCAGGTCGTCAAACTCGTGCTGAGATAATCCGGCCGGGACGTTGAGGTGGTGGGTTGTGGCGGTGGCGGTGGCGGTGGCAGAGTCGAGGTGGTGGTGGTCGATTTCTGACGGTTCACCCATTTCCATTTATGTTTTAAGCGCTTTTCTCGTCCAAATGTCGGGTTTTAGACGGATGAGAGAAGACTTTTTGTTCTTTTTTCTTTTTCTTTTTTTATTTTAAATATAAATTTTAGAAAATAAATTTTGTTTTTTTAAAATTTCTGGTTGGAGCTTTAAACGGTTAAACAACATTTTAAAAATAAGAAATGCTTCAAGAAATTTCTTATTTTTATTTATTTTTTAAATATTCTCTTACAAGTATTTTTGTAATAAATAATTTTTATTTTAAAAAATATATAATATAATGTTAAAAATAAAAAGTTTAAATTTCAATAATATAATTGCACCAAACTAATTTATTATAAATATATATATATATAAAAGTTGAGCGAGAATAAGACGTAGGGTCAGGACGGAGAATGTAATCGTTGTCCGGTCTTTTTATCGAAAATATATTTTCAATATTTAAAATCCAATATTATTCGAATTTATTAAATTTCTGTATTTTAAAATTTTGATATTTTTATTATTTATATCTAATAAATTAATGAAAATTGAAAGTCTTATTTAGTATTTTATTTTTAAACCCTTTTTAAAATTTTATATTAACTTAAAACTATTATATTTAAATTATAAAAATATCAAAACTTTTATTAAAATATTTAAAATTTAATATATAAACCCATATATAATTGAGTAATGAAAATTCAATAGGATGATTTATATATAAACCATGAATGAACCGGTTGGTTCAAATCAAAGTACCGAGCTTAAATTAGGCTAATAATAACAAAGAAATTATTACTATTTTTATTATTAAAAAAATAAAATAATTGTAGAAAATCATTTGATTAATTTAAGGACACCAAAATGACGTGGAAAATAGGATGAAGTGGAATCCATTGTAAAGAGTCAGCATCATATGACACGTCTTTTCCAGCTAATCAAATTATTTAGCCCAATTCCCTAAGCATATCCATAATATATTATCATTTTTCTTTTTTTTTTCTTTTTTTAATAATTATTGTCCCAATAAACTTATTTTAATTTGATTCCATATGCTTTCACATTAGACCTTCCAAGAATTATTGCATTATAACTAGTTGGCTTTTAAATAAAATAATAATAATAATTGTTATTATTATCATTATTATATATATATATATATATATATATTTTGACTTATTATTAAAATATAATTCACTCTAATGGTATCTAATGTTGATCCACGAGAAAATTGGTATAAAGCTGTTTTAAATGACCGTTGAGCTAAAAGTCACGGTTATTGACTAAACGAGAAAAAAAATGACGTGAGTTCGATTGAAAATTAGAGCTTTCGAGTAGCAACGATAAAAAGAATTGGAAAAAAAATCTGACTTCGTTCAGGAGATGAGATCTAATGGCAGCTGATCAATTTTGTTCAATTTTTGTATAAGAATATAAAGATAAACCCGACGAGAAAGAAAATTGATTAATCTCATAAATTTGTATAAAGTTGTTTTAAATGGTCGTTGATCTAAAAGTCACTGTTATTTGACTAAACGAAAAAAAAAGACATGGATTCGATGGAAAATTGGTATAAAACTGTTTTAAATGGTCGTTGAGCTAAAAGTTACTGTTATTTGACTCAACGAAATGACATGGGTTCGATGGAAAATTAGAGCTTTCGAGTAGCAATGATGAAAAGAATTGGAAAAAAATCTGACTTCGTTCAAGAAATGAGATTTAATGATAGCCGGATCAATTTTGTTCAAATTTTCGATGAGAATATAAAGATAAACCCGACGAGGAAGAAAATCGATTAATCTCATTAATTCGTTGTCCGGTCTAGCGCCACATTATTAAAATTTGTCATCCCACTTCTCTACAACACTTTTTTTTTTTTGTTAGTCAACTAACAGTCAACTCAACACGGATTAAATAATATTTTTAATCTTTAAATTTAGCATGAAAATCATTTTAGTATTTTCTATTAATTTTTAAAATCATTTTATAAAGTTTTTTCAGTTAAATTATCAATTAAAAAAACAGCTAAATAACTTTTAATCAATTTTAAAAAATAAAATAATTTAAAAAAAAATAAAATATTAAAGCATCCAGCTGACATCTTCTAAGTCAGCTCCCACTTAATACTTGTCTGGTCCCCACTTCTTATTTTATATTAAAATAAAATAGTAATCAAAATAAATAAATAAATAAATAAAATCTCTCTCTAATATTTAATTTAATATAATTAGCACTATATATTTATAAATCTACCCATGATTTCTTAGATTTGCAAGAAAAAAAAATAACTATATTTTCGTAAAATACCTTTTTATTTACTTTTAAATATTTAATTAAAATATACCATAGTTAAAATTTATTAAATAATAAAAGAATTATTACGAAATTAAATAAAAATAAAATAAATATATTTTAAAATCTTCGAACTCAATCTAGTTTTAGGAAAACCCATGAATTAATAAGCTAGTGGTACATGTGTTCGGAATATTTATAATATATTATCAATACATCAATTTTATAGTTAAAATTAATTTTGAATAAGGGTTGTTGATATATGACTAATACAGATAAGTTTTTAGGTCGTTCGCTTTACGTTACCTTTTATTGTACGTGTGTGTCTAATTTTAATAGCGGAGTTACTTATTGAATATATTTTTATTTTTAGGAGAGTTCCGGATTGTATTATGGAATTTTGGTCCACGTGCTATTTATTTACTTATGTAATTATAACACTTTTTCGATAATGATGAACTTTGCTCGTTTTTTGAGATATGCCGGTACTAATTAGCGTGCATTTCTTTTTAACGTATGTTTTGAAGTGGGTAGACCCGAAGAATACGATATATGTAATCATTCATTTGTATTCTTAACAATTTCAAAACTTTATGTTCTTGTATCGAGTGAAAGTTGTCTTTTTTGGAGGGTTAGACGCTGAATTTACATGACAAACGAATATCACCAGATAATCAAACCTTACCGATGCTCACTCGGTGTCGATGTTGTCATGAACTCAGCATTCCGTCTTCCAATGAACACTAAAAAGAATCGTCTCAAAGGACTCAACTTGACACAAGAAGTTTAGAAAAGGAAAAGCATAATGCTTAATTGATTATCCCTCCAAGTTGAGGCAAGAGAATATAATTACTAGTGAAAGAGCTTGTTGGTTTGTTAATTGTTTTCTTGTTTGGAAATCTTTGTCTGATAGCAATTATTGATAGAACTCATCAACTTTTGATTTGTGTTGTTTTTCTTCTTCTTTTTAGTCTTTTGGGTTAATCCATTTCTATGTTTTAGGTAGCTATGAGCTACTCGGTTTTGATCGATAGATACTAAGAGCCTAAATTATAAAAGATATCTATAAGCTTCGACTTTGTTTTAAAAATATAATACCGATCTCTTAGCTTCGGTTTTGGAACGAGTATAGCAGTGACCTAGAATGGTATGTCACCACCACACTTTCGGGAGTGAGTCCCACATTGACTAATTTAAAGAGTGCTCATGGGTTTTATAAGTAAAAGAATAAATCCCCATTGGAATGAGGTTTCTTGGAGAAGTCCAAAACAAAGCGTGAGAGCTTATATTCAAAGTGGACAATATCAATTGTGGAGAGTTGTGATTCATAACAACCTAGCTATGACAATAGAATCCTTAAATACCAAACAAAGAATCGTGAAAAGTAAGGAGTATCATTGCTTCAAACATCGTCCACTAATTGTAGCTTTGATACAAACTCACTTGGATTCACAATAACTTCAAAGAAGAATATTTGAACCTGAAAAAGTGTATGCTGAAGAGCTGCCACACGATCCAGCAATGAAGCTTTAAAGTGAGTATCTTTTAGAGCAACATCCAATGATATGCACCTTCTTTCCTTCTTGCACCAAATTCTTCATCTATGGGAGAATTAACCACAACCCCACAAGAACAAAACTAACACAATATTTGCCAATTATCTTTCTAAATAAAAATGATCAAAGAAAGAACGGTTGATACCACTTGTTGTGCACCGTAATGCCACAACCTTCAATGATCTGATACCAGTTGTGCCCTAATGCTACAACTAAAATATTTTGATACCCAATTGTTGTAGCAAAATGTCACAACCAAAAATGCTATGATGCCCCGTTGTTGTTGCGGAAGCTAAAGCAAGATCGGTCCCACTCACACACTCACAAATATAAATTAAATAAAGAGATACAAAGATTTATGTGATTTAGAGATAAAAAATTCTCCTACATCCACGAGTGTCACGGTAACCAAAATGTTTATAAGTGTATCTCTCATATTCTTACCCTACAAAGTCTCTCTTACAAAATTCCCTCTTAATTGTTGTTTAGGCAAATACAAAATGACAATAACTTCACTCATAATAATGGTAGACAAACCTTTATATAAGCATAGCAATACTAATTCTCATACATGAACCATAGGAGTTAAATGATAGTTAATAACCAAAATAAATAAGAATATTAATTAACACATATATAAATTAAATGAGATTTAATAACCAAAATAAATAGTACTTAATATAACTTGACTTTTATCGTAGGGTAATTTGAGCAACATTTTTCACCCGAATTAAGAATTGAGATATCTTTGTTCATATTTGTTAAGAATAGTGGAAGTCTAGCACATAATATAATATAATTGCCTTTTATTCATTTTCATATTCTTTTCCCCCCACAAATACAAACAATCACATGCAGAAGTTGATGACTTCAGTTTTACTTCTCGCAACACCCAAGTCGAATAAGAGCACATGAAAAGGAAGAAAATGAACTGTGGTGCCTAGGGAGGAGGCTACATTGAATTACCCTCATATGGCTTTTCTTATAATTAAGTGAAACCAACATAAATATACAGAACCAGAACAAACAAGGGAGTTACCAAAAGAATTGATCGACTAACCAAAGCTAGACCTGGTGATTTCGTATACCAAGAAGCATGCTGCATTAGCTGGGGCACTACGAACAATCGCTGGTCCAAAGCCTTTGTATAGCCCTTTAACTCCTTCTGACGCCATGATTTTCCTGAAAGCATCAATAGAACCAGAGAACTTTGGGTTTTTGAA